AGTGATGGCGAAGCTGATATTATTTGCTGTTTTAGCTGTTTTATCTTTGTAGTAGTGAATGTAATTATTGAATTCATTGTTTATTATTTCGTTGATTATCAGACTATAGGTGTATCTTTTTTGTTAAATATGGTAAGTTCTGTGTTGGCTTCAATCTGCTTCATGTTCTACGGAGGGTATAGTATTATTATTATCTAACTTATTTGATCTATTAAATAGTAAATACATTATCATATTTTTTTTTCTGGTTTCTGGTTTTTCTTGATTACCTAAACAAAGAAAAAAACAGAATCTAATTTTGGGAAGAAAACCATTGTATAGTAACAGATGGGATACAGTTGTTAATTTGTATTATTATTTGATTTGATTAAAGCAAGCATTTGTATTGAATATTCCTATATATAACTAAAAATAAAGTATTTTAATAACATTTGATTAAAAACTTTGTACATAGTTTAATATGAAAAAAAATATTTGTCAGGCTAACAATAATTATATTTATTATTATTTAAAATTAATCTAATTCAATTTCAAAATAATATATACATACATCTTATTAATAAATTTACCTAATAATGTCTTAGATTTCGAAATGGATAGTGAATATGTACTGGATAAATGTAGTGAGCCGTGTTTGCAAAAATTAAACTGTAATGATATTTGTCGTGGTACATGTGGAAAATGTAAACAAGGCCGTTTACATATACCTTGCAGTGAAATATGTAACAAGATAAACCCATGTAATCACATGTATGTTTTTTTTATTATTAAATTTAAATTTATTACATACAGTGTCGATTTTCCTTTAATCAGACTCGTTGGCAAATACACTATTTTGTCCCAATGAAGCAGATTTCACTTAATTGTTATTAGAGTTTTTATTTTTTCAGATGTAAATTCCCTTGTAAAGAACGGTGTCCACCTTGTAATAATAAGTGCTTGTATTCATGTATCCACTCTAAATGTACAAATATTTGTGGTAAACCATGTGTACCATGCAAGGTAATTCTTAAAACACAAAATATATGATTTTTACATAACACAAAATTAATATTTATAAAAATAAATTTTTGTATTCAGGAAAAATGCAGTTGGAAATGCCGTCATCTATGTTGTACTGTGAAATGTGGGGAAATTTGTAATCGCATGCCTTGTTATGAACCTTGTGATTTAATTTTGGAATGCAAACATAATTGCATTGGTTTTTGTGGTGAACCGTGTCCTCCTCTCTGTCGTATTTGTCAAAAAGATGAAGTTACAACAATAATTTTTGGCAATGAAGATGAACCAGGTGCAAGGTATATTACCTATATTATAGATATTATACTGGGCGATCAATAAAGTCTTACGACACTCAATACTTCAGAAAGTATTTACTTTTTCAAATTTTTTTTTTATATGGAAAATGTAAGACATAAGCAGATTTAAAATCTATTTTTTTTTCCTAACCTTATTTTAAGGGTGAAACCATTACCTTTTTTTCATTTTTAAATTGAATTATATTTTGTTTTCAAAATCAAATATTAAAAATAATTTTTTCCATTTATAAATGTATGTTGTGATATCAAACACATGAGTTATAACATAATAGTATACTGGCGTTATAGTAATTAATAGCTTCGAGTAGTCAGTTAGTAGGCATAATCTGGAGATTACCATGTTACAACTTGATAAGGCTAATAATTTATATTAATTTAATTTACAATTATCAAATACCGCAATACTTTAAAGATTTTTACACCATAGTATTGTATTTTACTACCTAATACATTTCTGTGAAATTCTCAACAGTTCATTCCTAGATCCTAGATTTTAAAAAAAATATTTTTTCAAAAAACCTATGTGGCTTCCAAAGAATTCCAATATAATGTTAAAAGGGATTGAATTAGGACAGCAATTTTTTTTTTTTTTTTAATATAATTGTTATTATATGATACAAACTATCTCTTTAAAGCTTCCATTGTGCTGGGTGCACCGGGAATCTTCAACTGGTGGCCGCGTATTTAAGGAAGTGGTTTCATCTCAAAAAATAAGAGTGACATAAAATAAGGTTTATACAGAATTTTAGAGTTGTTTGTTTCTTAAATTTTCTTAAAAAAGTTACTTTCTTTCTGATATAGTGCCTTGTTATATTATTTGCCGTTTATACAAATATAATTGTTTATTTATTCAATTATTTTTGTTATTTGAACACGAGTTATTAAATAATATATCAGCTTCAAATATAGAGCATGGACGCCATTATAAATGTACCCCATGTTCTAACCTACCTAACATTTTATATAGTTCTTACTTGAATGTTGGCTTGATTTTATCAGAATTGGTTTTATTGAATTAATTGCTTGAACTATCCTTTAAAGTTAACTGTGTTTGAGGAATATTCACTACGTGTGATCACTTATGAATCATTTGTAACTTATTTTATGTGTCGTTGATTGTAGTTTTGGACAATAACGCCTATTTATTTTATAGGTTTGTTTACTTAGAAGACTGTGGACACTCTGTTGAGTCTGAAGCTTTGGAACAATGGATGAACCAAAACGATAAAGAAATAGTATTAAAACAGTGTCCCTTATGTAGAACACCAATTTTAAAAACCCTACGTTTTATGAACAGAGTAAAAGTTATATTAAAAGACATAGCAGAAATTAAAGAAAAACAGTACAAAGAACAATTTGTGATCAGCAGTAATAAAATAGAAATGTTGCAATCATTAAAGTCACTCAGTGACAACTTTAAATCAATATTTATTGGTGATTTACGTAAATTTCAACATATCAAAGATCTTTGGGATATGTTTTGTAAGCCATTGAACAAACAGTTTCAGATTTCACAGAAAACTCACAAAAATAATAGAAATCGAACTGTTCATATACCAATCAAAGAAATTGAATCTTTAGACTTTGTCATAAATTTATTTAAATCGACTTCAAAGTATAAACAAATCATTAATGAAGATATAGATGATGGTCCAATGAAACAGACAATTATTAATCATTTTGTTTGGTTACTTTCTGTCACCTTTACATACGCCAAAGAGTTGTCAAATCAACAAAAATTTGATATAAACATGGAAATGGCTCGTGGAGGAAGAATTGTGAGTTTATACAAGATATTGTCCAGCGTAGAATATAAGATGAAAGTCCAAATGAACATAGACTCTACAAACAAAAATGAAGTAAAAGACTTGATAGACAATATGATAGATATGTTGATATCATGTAAAGTATACAATCTGAACAGAGATAAAGAGATAGAAAATCGCATGGAATTAATTGAACAAAAAATTGATGGTATTGCTTTCATTTCTGATGAAGAAAGAAAAATGATTCATAAAGCTATGTCTGTGAATTTCCCTGGTGGTATTAGAGCTCAAGGTCATTGGTGTAAATGTCAAAATGGTCACATTTATTGTATAACAGAATGTGGAGGACCAATGGAGGAATCTGTTTGTCCTGAATGCAAAGTTAAAATTGGTGGCCGTAATCACCGTTATGTTTCAGGGGTAACTGTGGCATCGGAGATGGATGGTGCAAGAAGTCTTGCGTGGAGTTCTGCTAATAATATAGGCGATTATATATTTGATGATTAATGATTTAATTACATTTTTAAAAGAAAAATTTTATTGAATTATTTTTAAATTAATGTATATTTTTTTAATTTCTAACAGGGTTTTATAATTTTAATTTTTTAATATACTATATCTTATAATAATAAATGCTTACTATTATCTTAAAATCATGTAAATTATATTGAAATATATTATTTATAATCATTAAATTGTGAACAATAAAAATATATATAAACACAGTTTTCTGATGATGATGATGATTGTATTTAATACTTACACTCAAAAATAAATTAAGTAAAATATGATTTTAATTCATAACAATAAAAAGGAAAATAACATCAATTTTTTAATGTATACATTCCCAATTTTTAAATATTTATTGATAACTTCAAGTTTTGTATATGATTGAAAAGTAATAAAAACGCTCAAGAGCATTGGAACATAGGTATCTATTTTTCATATATTTTGGACAAATAAGCAGTTTGCTAATATATACATTCAAACCTTCCCAATGTCCTATTTTCAATTATTAGTTTTTCCACTTTTTAAACTAAACTATCATATTTGTCCGTGAAAACAGCTTTAGTCTTACCTCTTAAATACATATCGTACAGAAGTGTACGTATAAATTATTTTATGGGGTAATTTGACTTTCAATTATTTGTAATAAACTGACATGAAAACAAAATAATTGCAATTAAGATTAAATTGGGAATTTAAAAAAAAATTTTAAGTGAATATTAGTTAAATACGTGTTATTATTATTGTTTTAATCTATAGAAGTAAATTTAATCTTTGTCTACATTGTATTTGTTGACAATTTCTTCTGAATCAACAATGACATCCCTATGCATATTTTAAAGGGTTTGATGCTCTTGGCCCATAGTGTTCCTTAAGTGTGCCTATATATGTTTCAATGTTGTAAAGGATTGTTCTGCACTTGCAGTGAATACAGAAAGTGTGACCAAAATGTTTAAAGTTTACTAATAAGATGGACAAATTGTTTATTATATTTTTTTAATGTTTCAATTTCAGTTTTATCATAACTACTTTATTCTTACTTCTTATTCCATATTTGATATTCATGATCAAAGTTTTTAACTCTCCAAGTCTTTCATTTGGCAGGTATCTTATGAAATTGTTTTTAGAATCATTTTTATTTTTGATATATTTCTACAGTAAGATCTGGAGATTAACAATTTTTTCTGATGCTTAGAAAATCTGGCTGCTAGTTCACTTAGCTCATGGTCAAGAAAAGAATTCTCAACGTTTATTTTGCTGTATCAATTTTTTATTTTTATTAAATTTTTGATTTTTAACATTTTTAGGAAGTTCAGAGAAAAGAATAGTGTACAGTCAATTAACCGTAATAATAATAATCAATCAGTGTGATTAAATATCTTTAGAGATATTATAATAGGTATATTATCTTCATGGGATACCTTGTATAGTCATCATTAAACACATGTTTATATAAGAATGGAAGTCATAGTGCAACCTAAAAAATAAACATGTAAAATCATAAACACCTAAACCATAACCAAAACTTAAACAGCATTGCTCAGTGCTACAATGAAATACAAGGCAAAAGTATAATAAATATACCTAGATAAATTGTAAGTTATATTTATTTTTGTTTTTAACACATTTTTTTTTTGGTTTTAAAGCATTTAAATTTGTGCCTTAATTAATATTTAGATGGTCATTAAATATTAAAAAACTATTTTTAAATTGTATAAAACTGGAGAAAATTTGTAAATAATTTTTGCCTCTTTAAATCAAAAATAATAAACAATTTTTGAAAATTACCATAGGTTTAAATTTTGTGAATCACTTTTAAAGATTGGTAGGTAACCAAGTCTCATATAGATTGACTTGCAAAAAGTAATTTAAACTGTTGCTTAAAAGTATAATTATTATTTTTTGACTTTTATCACAGTATTTCAGATAGTAATATAAAACTTATTTATGATTTTACTTAAATAATTTGACTTATTTGTAGTAAAAAGAACATTTGTATAAAATATAAAATTAATATAATTATTTATTGTTGTAACTAATTATATTAAACAATATAAAAATAAATAATCACATAGTATAAAAAAAGGGAAGGCACTATTTGGAGATTGTTTTCATTGTCATATTTGTGTATTATGTACGTATATACAAAACAAGGTTGAAAATACAAATTATTAATTTTATTATTTATTATTAATTTTATTGCTTTTTTACAGAAGAGCTGTAGAGACTTCTTTTCAGATTTTTTTCATATCGTAATTTTGTCCATATACCAAAACACATTCTGATTAGTCGTTCATCGATAATTAATTGAGATTTGATGAACATGTACTGACTTTGAACAATAACTTTAGCCTGCTTGTAAAAACCCCGTTGCATGAGACTGATAGCGGCATATAGTTTACATCGAGATGCAGTCAATGGATCACCAATTCGCATAGCTATTTTCAACTGTTGTAATGAAATTTTGCCTGCAACAATTGCCTAGAAATAAACAAATCAAATACTTTGGTTTCGAGCAAAATAAATGAAGTTTAGTAACCAAAGGATTTTTTTTTAAAAATGTGAGTTTGCATGTACAGTTAAAGTCTAAAAAAAGAAATCCGATAAACTTCGTTTGAGAGTCATTGGGGAAAATTTAAAAAAGTTCAGTTTTTCATTTTAGATAAATGCTTAGAATTTAATATTTTTACATTTTTTTGGTTTTTAATACTTAATCTAGTAATAAAATCAAACTAACCATCCTCATCATACATATATTTAAATTTTGTGTACATTTGACCAAGTATTTGGTGAAGTCCGGATCATTCATTATTAGCGATTGTTAGAAAATAAGCTAATATTTTAGGTAAATTCACTTCCTTTATTTATACTAGGTGATATGATCCATTTAAGTGAGTACGCTTATTATCTCTGTAAGTATTCAATTTTTTCTGAATTTGTTTTCTAGAACATTTAAGTGTTTCTTAAATGTTAAAAGCAGCTCTACAATTCATGTATTTCATATTCATATCATTATATTCATGTTATTTTTTTATTACCCTTATTTTGGGGGGTAAAACCACTACCTACTTTTGATTTTCAAACGGCAACCTATATTAAAAAATCCATACATATATGGAGTATTTGTTAAAATACACTTTTGTTTTCTGTCAAATCGTTGACGAGATATTTCACCTTTAAGTTTGTGTTGGAAGAGAGTAGTAGTACATTATTAACACACTGCACACAATGCCGCCATACAAATGATACTTCACTACTTTTTTCCAATCCAAACTTAAAATTGGAATATCTTGTCAACGGATTGACAGAAATCAAAAATTTTAACACCCAAATTTATTTTTAACTAATACTCTATCTGTTTATGGATATTTTCTAGTTTGAAAAGCAAAAATAGATAGTAGTTTTACCCCCAAAAATCTTGCACATAAAAACATACTTAAAAAAATAATAAAATTGATAAGTTGTCAAACTAGAATTGATTCCGATTCAGTACAGAATAACACTAAATGATAAGTACAAATATTTTAACTTAACTTAAAGTATTTTCTTTTTTTAATTATAAGGAATAGTAGATGTTTCTACATATATTTATACCTATGTATGTATGCATATATATATATATATATATATATATAAACAATTTAAAATTAAAATGTATTGAAACAATATTGTTGTATTTACACAATGCTTTGTTTGATCACCCAATGACGAGAAAGCGCCTCCAAGAGTTGATAACCATGCCATTATATTTTCTAGCTCTCTGAATTCAATATCAGTTGTTTGATATAGTTCACACCTAAGCAAAATTAAATAAAAACAATGATAGATTAAAATATAAAATTTCAACTGTTCTTTATTTGAAAGGACCTACAGTTTTTCAATTAACTAGTTTTTATACTATCACACATAGGTACAATAAGGACTTATTAGAAATAAATTTAAGTAAAAAATTAAATACATTTTGTTTATTAATAAGTATTAAATATAGTTAAAAATAATACAACTGAAGAACCTCATATCACTAGGAGACAGCGGAATACAAAGTGAAATTACGAAGAGTTAAACGAGGATACAGTAGCGAATATCCACAAATTAATAGTTCATATCTGGGAAAAAAAAGAACTTACACAAAGGTGAAATGTTGCAGTAATAATATGTCCAACAACGAACCAAATCTTTATTTTAATAAGGGTACTGTAAGAATGTAGGACATGTATTTAAGAGACTAACTCATTTCAAATACTTTGGGGATTTACCAACATAGGACAACGACTTAAAAATGGTAATCAGCACTAGACTACAAATGGACAACAAGTGTTTTTTTTCGTTCTTAGAAAAGTTCAGTGTTTAAGATCCCTGTCGGTTAACTTAAAATTACAGATATATATGACTTTAATACAATCCATGGTGCTATATGCTTCAAAGATAGAGCCACTTAAGAAAACCGAGGAGACGGGACTAAAAGTGTTTGTAAGAAGTCTTAAGAAAAATCTATGGTCCTTGCTTCGCTAATCGCACAGAAGAATGGCGAAAACGCCACAATTGTGAACTTAAAGAATTATTTTAGAGACCGTACATTGGAGATCAGGAGTAGGAGGTTGATGTGTCCAGGGCATGGGTGGCGGAACATAGGTTCCATAATCAGAACAATCATTGAGGAGATCCCAACTGACAAAAGACCTTTAGGAAGACCGAGAATCCGTTACGATGATTGTGGGAAGAATAAGACCGGATATGTCATGGAAGATAACCGCAGAGGATACGGATGGATGTAGAGGAATCTGTTTAACGGCATGGTCTCAACGACCGAGAACCAAGGAAAAAAAAAAAAAATTAAAGACAGTTACCATTTGTAAGCAAGTTTATATTTTATTGGCGTCATAAGATGGACATCCCTCACACCGACTATAATATTGTTATTATCCACTGCTGTGACGACGTTCATTTTTTTAATAACCGATCGTTTGAACGCATCACTGTTTTCCAACGTTTTGATGACACATTCCAAGCAATTGGCATCCATAAACACGGGTTCGGGGTCACAAGTGTCGTTTTGTTGGAGGGCGTGCAGTTCAGCCGACACTCGGAACGGCCATTGATCAATAGTCGTGTAAAGCACATATTCTCGGTTGTGTTTCAAAATCAACAGGCAGTCCCATAGTTTTCCGTCGACGAACACCCGAAAACAGCCCACTTGCATTATAATAACAGAAAGCGTTTAATGGAACCGAAAGGTCTACGGACATTGTAAAAGAAATTGAATATTTTGAAAATAACTATTTTTCATTAACTCGACCGTGATAAGTGATAACCGCGCGATAATAAATGATAATTGATAGGACAATACCAGGTGATCCATTTAAGTGGGTACACTCATTATTTCGGAATGTATTAACTTTTTTCGGAATTTGTTTTCCATCACATTTAAGAAACAGGCTGTGCTACAATTTTATATTTATATAATTTTTTTGTCACCCTTATTTTCGGGGGTAAAACCACTAGCTACTTTTGATGTTCAAATGGCAATCTATATAAGGAAGTCCATAAATAAATGGAGTACCTACCTATTAGTTAAAATACATTTTGGTGTTGACATATTTGTTTTCCATCAAGCGGTTGACGAGATATATTCTAATTTAAGGTTTGGGTTGGAGGAGAGTAGTGGAGTATCATTTGTGTAGCGGAATCGTGTTAACGATGCATCACTACTCTCTTACAACCTTAACTTAAAAGTGGAATATATCGTCAACGGATTGACGGATATCAAAAGTTTTAACACTAAAATTTAGTTTGACGAATACTCCATCTATTTATGGAATTTTTATTGTAGGTTGTCATTTGAAAATTAAAAGTAGGGAATGGTTTTATCCCCAAAAATAGGGGTGATTAAAAATAACATAACTATAATTTGTAGAGCTACTTATTTCTTAAATGTTCTAGAAAACAAATTTCGAAATAAGAAAATACTTTCCGCGATAATGAGTGTACCCACTTAAATGGATCACTTGGTATTTTACCTCACAGACTTAGATCATAGAGAATGTAATATTCCAGAGCAATATTACTCTATATACTGGAAATGAATGGGTTAAGGTTTCGATATAAAATACAGCTTTAGATAGAGTCGATCACAGCATTCTACTCCAAGTATTCAGTAAGACTGGGTTTGGTGTTCCACTACTGACATGGTTCGAATCATATCTATATGGTAGGTATCAATAGGTGAAAATGAATGGAAGTAACCTTGATGTCTCTTTTATTCCTTCGGGTATTCCTCAGGGGAGCCACTTGTCACCTTTACTGCACTGTTTATCAATGGTAACAAGCAAATAATTCCTAATTGCAATATTCTAGCTTTTACAGACGACCTAAACATTTTCCGGCGAATTACCAATGACTTCGACTGTCTCCTGTTGCAGGGCGAACTTAACACTCCAGATATTTGATTTGAAGCTATTGATCTTTATTTAAACGTGAACAAGTGCCAGTCCTTCTCTAGATCTCGTACTTTAATTAGCTACATTTTCACGATTATCAATATTAATCTTTCATCGACCAGTCGTAAAATAGATCTGGTGGTTCTTTTATCCTCTGATCTTAGTTTCCACTATCAAATCCAATCAATAAGTTATCAGGCGTATAAGACCGTTGATGAATATCGTCTGAATTTAAGTTTACCTCTCCGCTAAAGGCTCTTTACTGTTCCTTAGTGCGACCCCTGCTTGAGTATGGTTCTATTTCGTGGGATCCCATTACAGCCTCTGACTCTGTAATCATCGAGCGAGTCCAAAGACGTTTTCTATTCTATGTCAGCCGTGTGCTGAATATCCGCCACCCGTTGCATAACTACTCTTCTGTTCTTCACGTGTTTGGTCTATCAATGATGGCCGATAGAAGAGTTAATATAACTCGAAATTCCTCCGTAATCGGCAGTTCTTTGAACGCACCGTCGCTCCTTTCCCTCATAAACTTTCGATTCTCTCCACGTCCGATTCGCTCTATCATCACTTTTGCAATCCCTTTGCACATCACCAATCGAATAATCCTATACACCGCATGATGCGCCTTGCTAACGTCCACCTTTCGTTCTCACACTAATACCTGGTTAATAAATACCACCAATACCTCAATACATGGTTCCGTTTTTCACTTTCGCTGAATTGTCTGCATGTTTATTTATTAAGTTCTATTGTTCTTTGGGTTATACCCGTATTAAATAAATAAAAATAAAAAAAAATATATATGTCATATTATGGTAAAATAATTAAATAGGCATTGTATATATTCTTTAATAATATTTGTTTAATGTACCGATTTTCCCGTTTTTTCTACGTTTTTTTCCGGTTTTCCTATGTTTTTTTCTGGTTTTTCACATTTGCTGGGAAAATTTCGGAGAAAATCGAAAAACGACTCCTCTTAAGTACCTCCCTAATGAAATGTCTTTTTAGAAAAATGTCTGTCATTATAAGTTGGAGTAAAATTGTTGGTAGAAAAGTTGTCCACAAGAAAAAAAAATCGTAATAAAATACAAATATATTTTGTATACATTCCCGATATTTTCGATTTTTTTCGGTTTTTGGCATTTGATAAAAAATCTTTTGAGAAAATCGGAAAATGACTTCCTTTTAGTACCTCCCCACACAGATTTCCTTTCAGAAAAGGTGCTACTCGTAAAAATTGGAGCAAGTCCTCTGTTAGAAAATTTGTCCACAAAAAAAAAAATAAACATCTTTATAAAACTATTAGCTTATTCAATTTACTCAGAATCTAAAAGTTTACAGACAACTACTTTAATTGTATTTATAGGTATAAATTATCGTCTAATCATTGTCATCCGTATGGTTTTTTAGTCTATAGATAACAAACGATACAGCAAATATTCCAAATAATGATTTGTTGAATAGAACTGTGCTATATACTCTCTCAAGGAAAGCTCGCATAATTATAATTCTAGTTGCCAAATATCTAAAATCAATTGTTTAGAGCGATAAATTGTGGAATTTAGAAAATACATTAGACAAAAATTATTTAGACATATTTGATATCTACACGTTATCGGTTATTACATAGGCATTACGGTTAGTATACTTCTTGAGTTCCTGTTGATTAATTTCGATCTTTGCGACTGTGCACTATGGGAATAATTAAATTCACACAAGGGAAAAATGTATCCAAAAATATACGCAAACGAACTACTGAATGATATGATATTATTTTTTTAAATTATTTATTATTATTATTTTTGACAGCTGTGTGCGCAATACATACACCCAAATCATTGATAATTAAACTGTATTCAATTTTTTGTTTAAACATATAATTTTGACAGTATTTATTTACAGGAATTCTTTTTCAGGATTCACAAAACGTACCTACGGAATCTTGCACATTTTAAGGCACATCATTCCGTTCACTGTTAAGGACCGTACAGAATCGTATTCTACCTATTTCATTAATGGTGTTCCATTAAAAAAAAGAACTCGATTAGGTGAGGTTTTTTAAAAATTATGCAATATTTAGTTGGTATCTTAATAACTTTTAAATAAAAAATATTATGAAGTGAACAACAATAAAAACAAATAAACAGTAAACATGACGATTGATGAGAAGTGAGAACAATGGTGGTGGTGTCCGGGCCGTCACAGAAAATAAGGTTGGATATATTATTATAAGGTTGGGTGTATTTCAGAAGGAATCAGACGAAGAGATATCTAATTGATAACTGATAAAAAATCGGTAAAATTGAAAAACTAGAACCAGTGTCAATTTTATATACACTGAATCTTAATTCGTGTTTTTTACACATCGGTTTGGTCTATTGAATTTTTTTTATATTGTGTAACGCTTCGCGATACAATAACGTCTGTTGCGCCATCTATAAGCCAACTATTTTTGCCCATCTCTACCATAAGTTACATGTGTAAATATCTTGTACTCTTGTGTAATGTGTATACTTTTAAGATCTAGTTTTTTTTTTTTTTTTTCAAAATACCTAGACGACGTTGTGTAAATAAATGTACTTTAAAAGTACACTATTCACAGCTCCAAAAGAAAATTATATTTTGACAGCTTGGAACCAACTTAAACCATCATGTATTATTTTATTTTATTTGGTTTAATTTTAATTATTACGTAAATTACATTATAGCAAATATTTATATAGATAATATATTATGTATAATATTTGTATGATCTGTAAACAGATTACCTATTTTGAATTTTTGAAGTAGGTATAAATCATAGAGTAAAACCAAGTTTCCATTACATCGTACAACCGTGTCCCGTGCATAAATCGTATTCTGACTGGCTGCACGGTTTAGTTGATACCATGTACTACACACGGTGCAGAATGTAATGGCTTTATACTCTTTGTCAGCAATTCTCAACCTGTGGTACGCGTACTACTAATAATACTCGGATAGCTCATAGGTGGTACGCGAAGAAATTGTTTGATAAGTGGAAAAAAGTTATCTTAGTTATAATGCAGTTTCATTGATCCATAAATATTAATAAAAATAATATTCCATACATATTTAATTTTACTTTTTTGTATTAAATGGTTACATAATTATGTAGATTTAATAATAAAAAGTTCCATACATATAAAATAACGCACACATTTTATTTTTTGATAAGTTAAAAATAAAGTTAAAAAATCGTATCAAGTGGTAGGTGAAAAATGCCAAAATATGTTAATGTTACGCGGATATAAAATGGTTGAGAACCGCTGCTCTATGGTATTAATCTATGGCAGTATTTCCCAACTTAGCTGCACCCGTCTCCATTATCCTAGGGCGTCTTTTTAAAGTTTTATTATGTTAATACCTACCTATTAAAATATTATTAATGTACATTATATCAGAGCTTAGAAAGTATTATTAATATCCTATTATCTCAAAGATAGATTTAATGAGAAGATTAGAATCTTTCCATGGTTTTCTTCATTATTTTAATCAAATCCGGTGATTTTCCTGAAATTTGGTTTCACGAGTTCGGAGCAACATTTAATTGATTTTGAAATTTATTCTTCGTTTTTTTTTTTGTTAAAAATGACAACTAAACAGTAATCCATGGCATTCTAGAACTCTTCAGTTTTAATTATAAAAAAAGCTGTCCTAGGATGGGGTCAGTTGCAGCCATTGTTACAAGTAATTTAATCTATACCTGTAAGCAACGATAAACCATTGCTAAGGAAAAAACGATTCTTAGTGGAGTTCAGTTGAAAGTGATGCTTTGTCAACAATATATGCCATATTATGGTAAAATAATTAAATAGGCATTATGTATTTTCTTTAAT